AGATTATAATATCTTTATTACCTAACCTTATAGGTTTAATAATAGATCTAGTTAGTTCTATAAATTAAAAAGAACTCTCTATAGATTAAAAGAATCCCCTCTTCTCTAGTATAAGTAAATTATTACTATCTTTAAGTAATTAAGGTTTAATCTACTCCTAAAAAAACTTTATATTCTTATTAATAAAGATAGTATTATAATATTACTTTATATTAACGATATACTTATTATTATACCTAATATTAAGTAAGTTAATAACTTCAAAAATAACTTATATAACTTCTTTTAGATCAAAAATTTAAGTAAGGTAAAATAGTTTCTTAAATTTAAGATTATTTACTACTATAAGATAAGATAACTCTAGATCTTATAGGTTAAATATATTAATAATATATTAATAGAGAAGGGTATCACTAAATATAACTAAGTTCCCTACCCCCCTAGTAATACTTAGTTACTAAAGATTATAGAATAATATAAAACACCTATTAAGATATATAAATATTAAAATAATCTAAATAAGTTATAATAGATTATAAATAATATATAACTAGATATTATAATACCTATAGGTAAGGTTACTAGAAATTAATAATATACCTCTAAAAAGTATAATAAACTACTAAGATTAATATAGAGATATCTCTATAGCTTATAATAACTAGTACTCTACCTTAGTAGTCTAAGTTATTCTATTAATAACCTTAAATTATTAGTATTTTATAATACTAACTAGTTTAATTATAAAAAAATAAGTAAGTTAACAGCTAGCTATATAGTTATATATAGAGAAGTACTAATTACTTAGAAATTAATATTATAATTATTTATAGCTATATTAACTTATAAAGCTAAGTAGATAAATCTAATACTTAGAGGGAAAGCTCTACTATATATTATAGATCTCTTTAAAAGGATAAATATCTCTATTTAACTACCCCTCTAAGTATATATAAATTCTATAAATACCCTTAATAATTATCTATTAAGTAAATAGTTATTTAAACTATACTATATTAAGATTAAATATTACTAAATTATTAATAATATTAATAATAAAGACTTTAAGATTAATTATATCCTAACCTATAAAATAGTTACTAATAGCCTCACTAAACTACTAATAGTAGAGAAATATTATAACTTTATTAGAATACTAAGTTTATCTAAACTACCTATAACTAATAATAAGTCTTAATCTAAAGATAATATCTTAAAACTTAATCTTAATTAAGTCCTATATACTTATTTATTTCTCTTATATATAATAACTTTATTCCTTTATATCTTACTAACTAATTAACTTTTATAGTTAGACTTTATATTATTTTAATCACCTCAATTCACTCTTTTTAAAAGTTAAATTACTAACTATAAAAATCTCCTATATAAGAAGTTATCTAATAATAAAAGTTTAAAAAGTAATTAAAGACTTTAACTTCACTAAGTTATAAGTTTATTACTAAATTAGATATCTTAATTAATATTTATCTATATTAAAACGTAATAATACTAATTACTAAAAAAGATATAAACCTAAGTTTAATTTATTTAATTTTAATTAGATATTAAAAGTATAAGTTAGAATAAAAAATAAAAAGAGAACTAAACTTTATAGTATCTTCTAATAATTATCCTAGTTAATTAAATTTAAGTGAAATATTAATATATCTTAGAACTAACTCTTATAAGAATCTATAAACTCTACTTATTTTAAGGTATTAAGTTTAACTATAAAATATAAAACTTATATTATTTAACTAATATTAAGGAGTTAACTAAACCTAATTACTATAAGTCTAATTTAAACTTAAAACCTTAAGGTTAAATCGCTAGCTTTTTTAATCTAAGTCTATATAATTTAGAAGTAGCTAAATTACTAGACTATATAGCCTAAGTCTATATTAAAATTACTTTAAAGTTAATAAGAGTTCTATATTATAATTAGTATATAACTAAAAATTAAAAATTAGAAATATTTTAAGAGGTAAAATAAAATAATAAAGTTAATATAAAAAGGAAAGTATAAGGGAAATAACTAAGAATAAAGCTAATAGTTATATAATTAATCTAATTACTACTTTAGGATAGGAATAGTTTTATAGGGAGTACTAGTAGTATTAGCCGAAAGGGGGGTATAAGATAGTAGTCGGCTAGGCCCAGGCCCGAGGCCCAAATCCCAGCCCAAATCCCGCCTTTACGTAAGGGGTTAGCCACACCACTTTATAGCCAGGCGCGCCCAGCGCTCGTAGCTAGATTAATCAAGCCACTTCACGCAACTTGCATGTAGACGAAATTGGGCCGGCGGTTGGAGCGCGTTTGCAATCGATCGGGCGGAGGAGGTGACACCTTGATTTATGCTTCTTTGTTTTCTCGCATGCAGCGCCGAGTCTATCCGTACTATGCAGTACTGGAAGTGAAAGCTCGAAACACATCAGGTGAATGCTGAGTTCGTCTCACGTAAACCGTTCAGGCAAAGAGAGTTTGTGACAAGTACACGGTTCCCTTAAGTCGGCACAACGGCACTAGCTCCAATCTTGACGAAGAAACCGACTTTGCCTGCCCCTGAGCAAACGCCAACCCGCCTTCCCGAAAAAGACAATGCATCCAACACCAACACAGCCGTTGGTTCCGCGCCCAGCACCGGGCAAAAGACCAGGAACGATCTTCACAGACCAGGGTCCGAGCCTCGTCTCATGCCACTGCCTCCCTATCAGGCCAGTGATGTTCTCCCGCCAAGGCTATTAGCGCAGGGGTCCTGTTCAGAGTTGCAAGCCAACCGTCATCAGGCAAGGGTGGCTCAAGCCGGCGTCTTCCCCCAACTTCCCCGTCACCCCGAACCTTAAGCGCCGAGCCCCCAACCTTCACTCCTCTCCGTTTTCCTGCTCCAAAAATAAGACACAACACCGACCGGAAGGGTTGATAAGGACAGAAATCCGGCCTGGCCGCTCGGCTCAAACGTTTTGAACCAACACACTCTTTCCTTTTCGTTTCATCCTCCGAGAAAGGATGCTCCTCGCAAGACGGAAAATGCCAGGCATCGTCCTCATCGGCCTGCCGGTCTCTATCATCCTCTTACTCCTCTGGCACACGGATGGCGGCATCCCCAACCTCAGATCCTCAGCTCAGCTGCCAACACCAATAGACTGGAAGACAGAATCATCAGATTCCTACTTCTGGAAAAGCGTCACAGTGCACCATCCAGCCCCGCAACCGCTCCGTCCCCTCCCAACATCGCCATCTGTCCGCTTCCCCCAGGTCCAGGCGACTTTCCCCCACGAATCAAGCGACCATCGCCGCGTTCGTGAAGAGCGCCAACAAACTGTGAAGGCAGCATTTTCCAAAGCTTGGGCTTCGTACAAGGCGCACGCATGGCTCTCCGACGAGCTCACCCCTGTGTCGGGCTCGCGCCGCAACACATTCGGCGGCTGGGCCGCCACACTCGTCGACTCCCTCGACACGCTCTGGATCATGGGCATGAAGGACGAATTCGCTGACGCCGTCACCGCCGCCGAGACAATCAACTTCACGATGACGGACCTCCAAGAGGTTAATGTCTTTGAGACTACCATCCGCTACCTGGGTGGCTTCCTCTCCGCCTTTGACCTCAGCAACGACGTGCGCCTCCTCCGCAAGGCCGTCGAGGTTGGCGAGATGCTCTACAAGTCCTTCGACACGCCAAATAGGATGCCCATCACGCGATGGAAGATTAAGGACGCCATCGACGGCAAGGAGCAGTCCACGCCGAACGGCGAGCTTGTGGCTGAGATCGGATCATTATGCATGGAGTTCACCCGCCTATCTATCTTGACCGGCGACCCGAAATGGTGGGACGCAACGCAGCGAATCATGGAAATTTTTGAGGCGCAGCAGAACAAGACCAAGATCCCAGGGCTGTTCCCACTGGTCGTCAACCCAGAGAAGAAGATCTTCTACGAAGGCGACGACTACACCCTCGGCGCAATGGCAGACTCCCTTTACGAATACTTCCCCAAGATGTCCGCCCTCGTCGGCGGCCGCAGCGAGATGTACCGCACAATGTGGGAAACCGCCGTCGAGCCCATGATCAACCACAACCTCTTTCGGCCCATGACGCCAGCGAACGACGACATCCTCATCGCGGGTCAGGCACACGCCCGTGACTCGGGTGTGGAGCTGGAACCCCAAGGCCAGCATCTCGTCTGCTTCCTCGGCGGCCTCTTCGCCCTCGGCAGCAAGCTCTACGGTCGCGCGCCCGAGATTGACGTCGCGAGGAAGCTCGTGGACGGGTGCATCTACGCTTACAAAGTCTTCCCGCACGGCATCATGCCTGAGACGTTCTACATGGTCCCCTGCCCCTCCAAGGAAGAGTGCGCGTGGGACGAGTCCCTGTGGAAGAAGCACGTCAAGCAGCGCAACGACAAGGGGGACGACGTCGAGCAGATCATCAAGGACGAGAGGCTTGTCAAGGGGTTCTCTGAAGTGCCAGACCGGCGGTACATCCTCCGCCCCGAGGCCATTGAGAGCGTCTTTGTGATGTACCGCACCAGCGGCGACGCGGCGCTTCTTGAGTCCGCGTGGGACATGTTTACGTCCATCGACAACGCGACGAGCACCAATCTCGCCAACACCGCGGTGTGGGACGTGACGGCGGATGGAAAGCCGCCGGCGAGCGACTCCATGGAGTCGTTTTGGATGGGCGAGACGCTAAAGTACTTCTACCTCATCTTCAGCGAGCCGGGACTCGTAAGTCTTGATGAGTTTGTCTTCAACACGGAGGCGCATCCATTTAGACGGTGGAAATAGTGCTTTCGTCTCCTATGTAAACTAGAACTTGTGTAATAGAATTCTTATGTACATCTATGTGCTTACACCACACCCTTTAAACCACGAGTCCTTGGAGTATTGAACTGTGTTTGTACAGCCTCCGACTCGACCAGATATCTGCCTTCGTAAGTATCTAGAAAAGTGCTAGCGGGTTTGTCTTGGGGATGAAGTCCAACCTTCCAATTATTCGTGTTCTACGCCCATCCTGGCTTCCTAGCATACACGACTTGACTACAGAGGTTAGCAACGAGGTGCTTATTTGTTCTTTCAGGGATCAAGAGATTACATTTCAGCAGACCTCTTCTGAAGAAAAATAGCTGGGAAGACTGATAAACTTACAAATTCCAATACGCGTGGACCTTCTTGTTCTTCAAGTCCATACGCGCTTCCGCACAGAGGTCCAAACCTTCTTGCCGTGTCCAGCCAAGGGCGCGTGTAAACAAGCCCAGAGACAGCCCCTCTAGTGCCGAGTCGAGGTTGACATAATGCAGCATACCAATCTCCTTGAGCGGCCAGGCGAACCTCTTTACAGTGACGTCAACAAAGCCGGCGGCGTGGATGGCGTCTACATGCTTCGACGGGCCGATGGCATTGCCGGCCTCGTGCATGGTTTCGTGCCAGCGCATGAGAGCCGGGGATTCGAAGAAGGTGTTGTCGATGCAGCCGATGACCTAGTTGTAGGTTAGCCAAAGACATTGCTGACCTCGGAAGGTCAATACCTGTGCAGATGGGAAGGCGTCCGCGTCAATGAGCTTGTCAGCATATTAACACTCTTGGCCAAAGACACCCCAGACCTGTTCATCTGCCAATTAAGATTTGAGCAACGCACCGTAGTCAATGGCCCAGACACCCGTTCTGGTACCCATATCCAAGACGTTCTTAGCAGTCTTACGTGCTGGACATAACGCTAGTTCACCGTCAAATGTGAGATTCTAGATGCGATGCTGCAACTCTGTTTTCATTAGAAAATGGGCTTTTGATAAAGTCATGAGCACACCAAATATGGCGCTCGCGAAACACACCTAGACGGCTATTCTCCTCCTGATCACCATAGTCAGTATCTTCGCGACGTAGAGGTTACAGACATGGGACCGCTAACATCGTCGTTTGGGTAGTTGTATTCTATCAAGTATTAGCCCAGCGAACTTGACAGCAGTAGTTTTAGACCGCACTCCCTTCGCCCATTGAATGGTAAGTCCTGCCATTCTCAAACTGGAACCTCTTGATTTCCGATTTCACCGAATACATACAATGACGCTCGGCCTCTGGCCGTTCACAGTGAATTTTACCTGCTTAGAGCGACAGACCTCCTAACTCCGCGCCTCCTGACAATACACACAGCCTTCGGTCACGTATTCGGCCAGGGCGCGCGTTCGACTTTGTGCGAGGGTTTGCCTACCAGCAGGAACGTATAGGGTTTCTGTACTGTTTTCCTTAATTGGTAGAGGGCACAGGTCAAAGTGCCTATATAGTGTTTCCAGAATTGTGCCCGCGTAAGGGGTGAATTTCGCCGTAGTCTTTTTGCGGGGGGGCTGCGTCGTAACTACAAACTCAATACAATGACGCTCTCTCAAAGTCCTGGAGACCGAAGAGGGATGTCAGCGATAATTTCTCCATCATCAGTGGATGTACCATTCACATCACAGAGTCATTCTTCGAAAGAACACTGACATCTTCTACACCTAACGCTTCGTCCACCTCGGTATCCTAGGCGTGTTGACGTCAATCGCACGGCTCGATCTCGGTGCCCTCCGCATTTAGAGGCTTACGAAGTCAGGTTCTGGTCCATGGACGCCTTGCATGTCTGAACCCTGCATTATCGCGTGGTGTGATTGATGGATGGATCAGAGGCGCAATATTGATTGACGGTGTGCGTGGTCTCAAAACTCAAATTCACAGTGTTCAACAGCAACGCACAGCTCACTAGGCGCAAGCGAGATGAGGTAAATCAACACCCGATTGAACGTAAGGATGAAGAAGGCGCGAGAAGAAAACTAATGGTGGGGGAGAGGACTAGCGGAAACCCAAGTATCGTGGCGGCGACGATGGCTCTTAATTGCTTACGCGTTGTAGCACCAGAGCAGGGTTCCAGATCCCACGCACAACTGTCCCATCTTGCGTCTCTCTCTCTTTTGCTTTCAACATCACCTGCCCGCAACAGATTGTATTTCTGACGTTGTACAGAGCTTGAATACGCCTACAGCAAAGCTACAGGTACTTGTTCATGGGGTTCCCGCTGAACCTGCACCAACAGCCAAGAGCCCGAGCCGACGATGAATGCCCGTTGGCCAGTATTTGCGGCACCTGGGTTTTGCGCGGGCATGATAGGATGAAGACAGCTAAAAATGGGATGACGATTGCGGCGAGGTACATCGACCTGCACCGAAAGCTGAGTTTCATTGCGGCGCGTTCAGCCGAAATGCTGCAAACGGCTGAATTTGGGCTTGACAGGCTCCACTGGCCATCGGAGGACCGCCCGTCTCCCGGTAGAACCAACAGAAGAAGATCACACCGCCAGTTTGGTTGGCAGAAGAGGGAATCACACTTTGATGAAAAATGGGTGGAGTATTCGCATCTCGATGAAAGTGTGGTGGTAATCATCGAGTTGTCTTTTCCAATCTACCTGTGTCAGTATGGGTCGAATAGTTTCTGATGGGCCAGAACTTGCATCAACCGCTATCTTCTGTCGGCACCTTTTACCCCTATCACGGTGTACAAGAGTACCGTCTCAAAGAGAGGGTCTGCCTCGGGAGCCAGACTCTGTGCTACCATGACTTGTACTCTGTTGGTCGAGTTTCGATCTCATTATTCTGTGCGACCTGGCCCACTTTGGGTCTTTCAGCCTCAACCTCGGGAAGACGTAGGATCTTGCATGTCGGGATCGGTGCAGGGCGGTGGATGTGACGGTGCAGATGCACTACCATGGAGGCCATTGAAAGAATAGGCCAGGCAGCGTGATTTCAGTCGAGCCCGGCAAGAATAAGTATTCGTGCACATCTACTAATGCATATAAATATGCGGGTATTCATTTATGCTTAATTACTGTTAATCCGTCTTTGTCGACGGGATGGGCCGCATTCCCACCGAACTCGAAAACGGCGACGCTCCGGGACTGTCTCACTGCCGGCTTGTTCGCGACAGATCATTGTACGTCTCCACCACATCTCTTTCGGACAACTTCTACGGATACTTGAAGCATCCATTTCCAAGAAGGGGAAACTCTCGCCGTCGGAACAGATATGCACGGCTCAATTTTATCAGACGCGGATACTAGTCGTGGCTCGGTTGCGTCTCTGTTGATAGCCACGCGCGTCTGAATGGGGCCGATTCATCTCCCTCCGCGACTTGATTTGGAGCTTTTGAGGCTAAACTCTGCCAGCCGAGTCACCGACTCCGGGAAGCCAGAGTCAGCGGCAGGTGAGAACGCCGACGGTCCCGCAGCGGTCCCGCGACCGTTAGTGGGATCGGCGGTCGGCCAGCGTGGAAACTTTGCAGATCCACAAGTTCAGGGCGGAAAGAGATGATCCACTGCAGGCTATTTCGCCCGACGAGTCCGATCGCGAGATGAATCCGAGACATTCTCGGGCTTTTCTTTCTGTTTGTGTTTTCATGTTTGTTTGCTCTCGGCAGATAGTGTGCAGCATGCCCACAAGCAAAGACGGCCAAGTTTTCTTGTGCATTGGTTTTCTCACCTCCGTGGAACACGCGGTGGTATCTCCGATATCACGGACGGGGCGATGGCACTCGAGTCGGGGGAATGTTACGGGAGAACAGGGAACTGGTGCCGTCTCGTGACTTTCTTGCGGACCCGGACATGGACAGGTATGGTTGAGCCACGTTTGAGGCCTTTAACTGACCAATATGCGCTGGAAATCTCTGTCCGGGAATCACAACATTGCCCCTGGCTGCTAGGACAAACAGCAAACATGGACGGAAAAACGCGCATACATTGCAGCCCAAGCCAAGCTGCAGTGCTGCCATCTTCACGATGATGCCATGGCTTCAGTCCTCGGTGCCCAAGACGCGATGCATGTGTCGGCGTGGGGGCCCAAAAGGCAGACCCGCACTTCGGCTAGCTATCATGACTCGCCCCTGTCGATGGCCTCCTTTAATGGAAGGCGGAAGGTCCGCAAACTCTCCGTCCTTGGCCTTAATCTGAACCCAACCACTCAGCAGCATGGCTATGCACTCAATGCCTCAGCGCAGAATCCGGGGCGGTGCTGTCATTGGCCCTGTTCGCCATGTGGCCGCGCCCTTTATTGCTTGGAGCTGAACTTCAGCTGACAGAGACGTCAACGGGCAAATGGGATGTCATAGCACAAGGATGGCGCCGACAGACAGACCGTCAACCTTGCCACTGTTTCAATATCCGAGCGTTACGAGCCGTCAAAAAGCCACAGCCGAGCTTACGAAATTAAACGAAAGCTTCCATCCGAGAAGGGACGAAGTAAGGAAGAAAAGAAAAAAAAGTTGGCTGTGAAGCTGCTCCGCCCACGGCCCATGATGCATGGGCTTATCGGCTGGTAGCGAACGTATTTCCTAATTCAGCCCTCGCTTGTGGAGCAAGGTTGCAATGCAGGCCCCGACGTGTCCAATATTTCGCGCTGATGCTCATGTCACCCACGTTGATCTGATGGAATCTCAAATGTTTGTAATATAAGACCACCCATGGGATGACAGTTCTTTGGAAAGCGGGTTTTTGCTTTCTGAACGGGTTTCCTGGAGGGTTTTCGCTTTCGTTGACAACTTGCCCGTCATGGTTGGAATCACCCTTTCCCGTACCCTGGGGATTTTCTTGGGCCTCCTGACGGTCGTCAGGTCGGAATCCGCAACATGCAGCCAAGTCTCAACCGGCACTAGCATCCAGAAGTTTCAAGGTCTCGATATCGGCTACACCTCAGAGCAGCTGAACTACTGGTAGGTTAATACAGCTTCTGGTTTCTCAGGTATCTGTTCTGACGCAAGGCGGAAAAAGGTCCACAGCATGTGGTAACCTCAAACCTGGATGCATCTTGGTCCCCACCAGCGCCGAAGAGGTCTCCGCCATTGTCAAGGTTTTGGGAACCAACAACGAGACTTTTGCCGTCAAGTCGGGAGGACACAACCCCAACAACTACTATGCCAGTGTGAAGGATGGGCCGCTCATCTCCACTAAGGGACTCAAGGAGGTCATCTACGACAAGGCGAGCAACACCGTTAGTGTGGGACCTGGCAACAAGTGGGAGGATGTCCATGCCGCTCTCGACGGGACCGGAGTTACAGTCGTCGGCGGCCGAATTGGAAACGTTGGTGTTGGTGGATATTTGCTTGGAGGTACGATGAACGGTCTCAAGACATTGATCGAGGTTTGATGCTGATTTCAAACCCGACTAGGTGGACTCAGCTTCCTGAGCACTCAGTATGGCTGGGCTTCGAACAACATTGTGTCGGTCGAGATGGTTCTGGCCAACGGAACGATTGTAACCGCATCGAACACGACGAACCCCGATCTTCTAGCTGCCATCAAGGGCGGCGGCAATGCCTTCGGTATCGTAACCCGATATGTGTTGAAAGCCCACCCCATCGGTCAGGTAAGGATACACTCCAGCTAGGACTTTGAAATTGGCACGGTCTAACACAATAATAGATCTGGGGTGGTAACTTGGTCTTCGGTGCCGACAAGACCGACAAGATTCTCGCAGCCATTCGCAACTTCACCGAGAATTACGACGACCCGAAGGCAGCCATCATCGCCACCTCCGAGCTTACCGTGCTGAACCTCGTTGACATCTGGATCCTGTTCCTTTTTTACGACGGCCCCGAGCCTCCCGCCAACGTCTTCAACGAGTTCCTCGACATCGGCCCGACCATCAATAGCTGCAAGACCCGATCCTACACGGACCTTCTGACATCCAACAACCAGTTCGTCCTGAAGGGCAGCGTCTACACCATCGCGACCGAGACGACCCCCCTTCCTTCCGCTGCCGACGGTGCGAAGGTGATGCGTTCGTATTACGACCACTGGTACAACACATCATCTGCGAAGGCCGGCGTCTTCGGCATGATTGCATCCATTGCCTTCCAGCCTATTCCAAAATCCTTGCCCCGCATCGCACGTGAGAACGGCGGTGATCTCTTGGACCTTGATGACGATGTTGACAGAATCATCTTTGAGTTTGATTACTCCTACGTTTCACAGCTTGATGACGCCACGATTGACAAGACCATGGTTGACTTGTACTCTGGCATGAAGACTCGGGTGGATGGTTTCATTGCGGACGGCACCCTTCCGGACATCTACAGGCCACTCTTCATGAACGACGGCTACTTCCGACAGGACTACTGGGGGAGGTTGAAGCCAGAGAAGCGGCAGCTCGCTCAGAAGGTTCGAGCGGAGGTTGACCCAACGGGCATGTTCCAGCAAAGGACTGGGGGCTTCAGATTGTGAGTTCTCGGTCATGTAGAGCTCTTCGTCTCCTTGTACTGACATGATAATAGGCCTGCCTGAAGCTACAGAGAAGAGCCTACCGATTAGTGTAAATAGTTCGATTCTTTGATGCTGGGCTTCAGGGTTCCAGCTGTGCTATCTAGCACGTACCATTTCCACAATACTATTGTATAGATACATTGAGCAACGAGTGGATACCCCCTGCATCATATGGTCTGTCAATGAAGCATTGGCATGTCGACCACTATGTTTTATCTTGTAAAATGTTGCAACTGCTGCAAGCTGGTCACGTCGGAGATTGGGCTTTCTGACAATTGCCTTCGGAGAAAGCAAAAGTAAGACACGATTTTGTGGACCTCTATCACCAAAAGACTCGGCTTTCAGTGACGGTGAACTTTTGGGCTGCAAAATCCATTCGCTTTCGGAGTCGCAGGCTTGATATCACTTATCATGGCTTTGTGCACCCCAACTGCTGCATATTTTCCTACCGTAGCAACATGACACCCTTACTTAACAACAGTATCTCAAGATCCCAATTCTTCGAAGTCACAACTATCAATTCACATTTCAAGATGGAAAATGTCGCCATCATCCCAGACACCATGTCAAATATTTGGGAGGAGAAGTTCAGGAACCTGGTCCAACAACTCGGAAATGCCCCGAGCGACTGGAGCCAACAGATGCGACTCATCGTTGTTATTTTTGTGTTTTCGGCTCTCACGCTAATGTTCATCTCAATCGCCTTAACGTTTTGCTACATGAGAAGGAGAAATAAGTTGCGCTCGATTGGAGAGCCGAAGTCCGAGGCCATCAGCGAGACCAGCGATGGAGTAGGTCGCTGGTTGGAAAGCGAAAGGAGACGTCCTCACACCGATTTCAGCAACTTTGGCCGCATGCCCGGCTACTTGCCGGATTCACCTGAACTCGTCCACACGAGATTCGTCTGACGGCTGGACGCCCTTTGGCCTGTGCAAATAGAGAAGCACCGGCGTAAACGACGGCATACATACACACACGCACGAGTAGCATCGTTACCGTAGGTGGCCATAGAGGTTTCTCTGTGAAGCCCAGGCCATCCTGGGCTTCGCATATTTTGCCGTCAGGGTCGTACGGCAGTCAAAAACGTGTGTCCACAGGCGGCGAACTGCGAAAAAGAAGTTAGAAGGGCAGAAGGGTAGCATCGCTACCTACCTCCACGATAGTCAATCAAATCGAACCACGATCTCTGAACGTTTGCGAAACACCGGCCACAATTGCAAGTCCAGCGGCGATGGCTGCGTGCACATTCGACACGGAAGATAGCAAATCAACGGCCTAATCGCCGAACTCACTACTGAAAGCAGCAATATTGCTCTTGAAGTCAACGTCAGCGGGAGGAAACAAAACCAAAAGGCTTAAGATTATGTGCTACATGTTTGTATAGGGCAAGGAAATGGTATCTTGGTACGAGAACAGAAGAAATAGAAACACAATAAGAGGCATCAACGTTCCAGAATGATTCTCCCGTGACGTTCATGGATTCTGGACGAACCGCTTTCAGCCCCACAAAGAAAGAAAAAGTCCAGATGCAAGATTTGCTGTCTTTTTGCGACCCCCGAGCAAGACGTGGATCCATCGTGATCCATCTCGAACCCCACTAATACTGGTGGGTCGGCATTTCGGGGGTCGCAAAAAACGCTCAAATTATTTTTCGTAGCACCACCTCATACTCTGGCGTCCTCCGCGGGAGACTTTCCCGTAGCAACGCTTTCCATGGTCATCCCCCTCTCCGGGGCGTGAAAGTTTTCGACATCTGTTGCGGCAGACATGGTACTCATTCTCTTGTTACTTTCTTTAAACCCGATTGCGGGATTTCCGATGACGAGGCAGAAAACTGCAATAACCATGACCCTTGGTTGATGTTAGGCTCCAGCACCAGACAAAGGTTGGGGTATATGACCACTTACGATGACTCGAGCCCGATGAAGAGCGGCTCGTTCCGGAAGAGAACACTGAAATATCCTTCCTTCAGCTCCTCAATACGGTACGAGCATCGGACCAGAATCAGGATGGTTGCCATGAACAGAAATGCCAAGAACACACTCATGTGTGTGGTGATTCTCTCACGCGCACCCGACCTGTAGGCGGAAAAGAGATAATCCGCGAACAATATGCAGAACACCACCAGAGTCACAACTTGGAAGATGAGGCCTGCCAGGGAGACGTTGACGCCCTTTTGTACCTGGCTCTTATCGTTCGCAATGCTCGACAACGCACCGCCAGTGGCTTGTAGGATGAGGGAGATGATGTCGCAGGGAATGAAAATGTAATAGAAGAGGTGCGGGTTGAAGCGGGATATCGATCGGTCGAGAGTGATGATTCTAACCACATGTTAGCAGAAGATTTATCGATGTCGTGCAGCAAGTAGGCTTACACTTTGGAAAGCATCACATAAATGGCGGCGCAGAAGAAGACAGGGGCAACAGTGATGCAAACTATTTCGACGGTTAGATAAATGCGATGAGCCAGGACTTGCACGAATGACCTACTGATCTGAATGAGAAAGCCGCCGAAAGAGAACGGGTTGTCATGTAGAATAAGTCGTCCAACATAGCCGACGATTTCCACCAAGCATCCGCCGATCACGCTCGCCGCAAACCCCCATGTCTTTGCCCGAAACCCAATGACACTATGGATGACCATAGCCAGGGCGAAAATGGCGATGAAGGTGCTGTTAGCGGGTATGGAAGGCTGGTACTTCAGAAGACTGGCTTCCAGAGGACAGAGCTCCAGAGTGCAGTTGGCCTTCGGACCGAAAGTCCTGAGTCCATTTGGAAGCTTTGTTGCAGACATGTTGGGCCGGGAAATTCGAGATTGACGCCTGTTGTATAAGGCACACTGCGAAGAGACAAATTTGATCGATGCTAAGAAAGACGTTGAGATCGCGGGTCTCGAGAAGTCTTAAATACTGGAGGATACGATGGATATTGAAGGGAGGAACGACCGCATGCGTATGTCTTATCGAGACGAAACAGCGGGGTCGGCCGTAAACACAGGAGTAATCCGTTGGAAACTTGCTTGCCTGCCAACTATTTCCGTGGCGGGAGCGGGATCTAATCTAAGACATCCTAAGCTATCCCCTAATGAACAACCGGCCATGATCTACGAGTGGCTGGATCCCTCTCTTTCGCTTATGTTGACCCTTTTCCACGTTTAGAGACTGCCAAGTGCACTTGGCTCTCATGGCTCTCCTCATCTAAACATGAGGCTGGATTCGAAGAGTGCGGGTTGTGGAATCCCCTTGTCCACGACCGGCCGTAAACCATACCATATTCGGAAATGGAAGATCTCGCGGTGGACAAGGTGAGCGCCACCCCATGTGTTTTTACGGATATCCTGGCACGTATGATTGAACGGCCAGCCCGATCGACGTCCCGACAGTTTGGGCCCTATTTTAGTAGACTTGAAAGTAGTGTAGACCGCACTCGTTGGCGCACTCGCACTCGCAACATGACGAATCAGGGAGCGAGACTACTGAAGGCGGACGGATATTTGAGACTAGCCTGCATGGTTCCCGCATGTGAACATGATGCGACGGGGGGACACAAAGACGCTTCTGAGCCCGAACCGTAGGCCCGCGCCAAGACACCCGATAAATCGGATAAACAATCTTCGATGCGTCATGCCAACAACCGAAGAGCTTGCGTCTTGATTCTCAAAGAATCCTTACGAGGTTCTAGGCTCTCGCTTCGCGATGCGAACTGATGATGGCTGCGTCCGCTGTTTAGATGCGTCTCTGAACTCATTGCCTGACTACTTGGGAGACGAGTAAAACAAACTGTACATGGACAATCGTTGACTGGTGGACGCGCGCAAGGCAAAGCATTCTTTGTCTTCCGCCGATTATCGCCGAACGTCGCCGAACCCGAACGTCGCCGAACATATGGCGATCACGGATCACTGCACCGAATCGGCTCTCCGAGTCTTGTTTGTGACATCCACATCATGCGAGTGGATACTTGGTTGGTCCAGACGAGCGCCAATTTATTGAGTCTAAGGAAAATCTCTGCGACAGAGGCGGGATCCTGGCAATTGCAGCAAGATATTTGGAAGTGGCTTTCGATTCAACTTTTACATATACTGATGCAGCTATTTTCCTTCAACCCCAAAGAAATACACTTTCTAGGCTCCACAAACTTGCTAAACAAAAAGGTCATTTACAAGGGTCGTCGCCCCTAAGACAACGCTTTCTCAAAGCATCGAGGTGCAGATCCCTAAACCAGGCTAGTTGGCACCCTCGCGGCGTTTGATCTCAAGAGGGACAGTGACATCGGTCGTGAGAGTAAAGTCATTGAGCCTGTGGCCAACAGGTGGGCCTCCCTTACGATCAGCATCACCTACAAGCCTGAAGTCCCAGAAGCGCAGCATCTCGACAAACAAGACCTTGATAGCGGTGCTGCTGAAGAACCGGCCGGGACAGCTGTGGGTGCCGAGGCCCCAGGCCAGGTAATCGGACGTCGTCGTGATGTAGTGGAACTTGTTCTCGTTGCCATCCATCTGGCGCAGCTTGTAGAAGCGGAAGCCGTCAAACTCGCTCGCAGGAGCTTGGTCCGCAATCTCTGCGTAGCTCTGCTGGGTGCTTGGAGAGGTCATGACGTGGTAGACTGGAACGCCGATGCGAGTGCCGGCAGGGAGCGTGTGGCCGGTGGAAAGAGTGACGGGACTCTGCACGATGCGAGCCATGTTGACGAGCTTGTTCGGGCACAGACGCATGCTCTCCTTAAGGAACGAGTCGAGCTTGCGAAGCTTGACGTACGATGTGCGGCCCATGATGCGACGGCCCTTGTCGTCCATGGTGAAGCCGTCTTGTTGCAGGACGTCTTCGATCTCCTGGCGCAAAGGGGCGAAATACTCTGGTCGGGTAGCCAAGTCGTACATTGCACGGGTAACAGTATAGCTGACGCTGTGAATAGATACCCACGAAACTAAGACGCAGGTCAGTTAGAGTCCAGAATAGAATT